TTTTCGAAATTACTTTCAATGTCCCGAAATCTCACTTATTGAAACATTAAAGGGAATAGCAGTTGTACTGTTTGCATAAAACAAAGAGAACTAGGACGCAACACACACTGTGAAGGGTATGTAGGCAGCCGTCATGTTCCGTTTAGGTTGGCGATAAACCACACAAAAGATAGCAAACTCATTTCAAACACTTACTCTGAATATTAAAGCGGATAACCAAAATGGCTATGCATTTTCGTTAAGTTTTATGTTGGCTGACAAACAAAGACAAATGCTCTTTTATTAAATACCACACTAATTCGATAGGAAATGCAAGTTAAAACTCAACACATTATTTGCAAAAACCCTAGGTTTAAAAATATTATGTAGAGTGTAGAAATCATCTGCAATACGATTTAAACGGGATTATAAAGAGTTATTTATACCGAACGACACGGAAGGATGCGGCTACACTATTTAATTTTTAATAAGGTCCATTTTATGTATAAATGGCGGACCGACGGAAGAACATATTTTATATATTGGGAGCAAGACATTAAAAAAAATATATATATTCCGTTTATGGCTAAAAAAGCTCATGCAGTTTCAAACTCACAGATTGAAATACTTTTAATTTAATATTTTTATATTATTTTTTGAATGTGAGCAATTACCACAATATTGATTGTATGTGAGCTTATCTCTTATTTTGAAACTGCTGATTCTTCTTCTTGAAATTCCGCTGCTATCGGAGATTGGATCATCACCACCACCCGGACACTATTAATCACCCGCCTGAAGAGTTGCGTTCAGTTGGGCGTCCAACAAAACCACTCCTTCAAGTTGCGCAGCCAAGAACCTCTTCTTCCAGTCGTTCTTCTGCCTTTTACTTTTTTTTTATCTTGGATAATTTTACCTTGGATAATAATAAATAAGCTTAAGGATGTTATATCTGTCTCCTCTCATAACATGTTCTAGATATTATAGTTTTCGCCTTTTTATGGTGTTAGTAATTTCTCTGGATTTATTCATTCGGCGTAGTACTTCCTCATTCGAAAGCTTGTCAGCCCATGGTATTCTCAGCGTCCCCCTATAACATCACATTTCAAATGCTTCTATGTTCTTGATGTTTTCTGACTTGAGCGTCCAAGTCTCCATTCCATACAATAGAATGGAGAATATATAACATCTTAGCATTCTCGTTTTCAGTTCTAATATTACATCTCGGCTGCATTATTTCACGCATTTTTATGAAAGCGATGCGAGCTACGTCAAGTCGAAGCTGTTTCAGTTATCCTTGGGCCAAGATATTTGTAGGAGGATATCCATTCCAGGTTGTCGTTATAAGTCTTTATTGATGTTCTATTTTGGCTTGTGTTTTGCTTTTTTGAACTTGCTATGACTTTGGTTTCCTTTAAGTCCATATCCCTTTCAGAAAATGCTTGTTAACTCAACCAGATGTTCTAGGCCTGCCAGACTGTCTGCGACAAAAACGGTATCGTCTGCGTATCGCAAGTTGTTAATTATTTCGCATTTATGACAATACCACCGGATTCTCATAACAGCGCTTCTTCAAAGGTGCCCTCACTATACACATTGACTAATAAGAGAGGCGACAATACACATCCCGGTCTAACACCTCGACATAACTTAATCTCCTCACTCAGATCTTCCCCTACTTGTACTCGTGCTGTTTGGTGCTAATATAGATTGGATATTATTCTTTTTTTTTGCTATCGATAATTTTTATGTTTAGTATCTCTAGAAGTTTTGTATGAAGTAGGTGTACATATCATTATTCATATCTAGGTATATCTGTCTCAATCCGTTCAGTCCGAAGAGCGCTTCTCTTGTTCTCACGCCTTTTCCAAAACCCATTTGAATGTCACTGATGCCTTGTTCTAGTTCCTTATAAATTCCGTTATGTATGATCTTTAAAATATTTTCAAGGTGTGACTCATTAGGGCAATGATTCTGTGGACCGAACAATATCTGGCTTTATTTTTCTTTGGCAGTGTGACGAAAGTTGAGGCTACCCAATCGCTATGGAGTCTTCTCCGATAAGCTTTATTAGGTCAGCAGGTACTTCGTTAGGTTCTGCTTTTCCTGGTTTACAGTTTTTCATTACATGTTTTACTTCTTCCCTTAATATTTATGGGCTAGTATGCTCCATGTCTGGGTTTGCCAGTTCAATTCGATTATTGCTGAAAGGTTCTTGTATATGTTCGGTCCACCTTGCCAGTTTGTACATCGGATCTACAATCAAGTCGGCCGTTCTAGTTTACCAACACTGTCTGGCTGTCGTCTCTGTGCTCTCCCAGGCATTTCTGTTATCTTTTTGTGCATACTGAAATAATAATATTTGACTTGATATGCGTTAACCTCTCGATATTCATCAAGTAACCATTTTTTCTTCGCCTGCCTCACTTTACTTCTGATGTCATTGTTTATGATCTTATAGATTTGCACATATTTGTTCTTATATTGACCTCATATAATCATCACGTACATTATCTCCTGTTTTCATCCATTCCTTTTTCTTTCCCTTTATGCATTTCGATTCTGCATTTCGTATATTTTTCAGCACTTTTTTTACGTTTTGCCGTTGTTGCTCTATAGTGATATTGTAATTATCATCGTTCAATCAAGTCGTTTAATTCAGTCGTTCGTTTTCAGTCATTCAGTCATCGGTTCGCTTAATTTGTCGTTTATGTTATTCTCAAAATTCTTGTGTACTACATTGTCCTTCAGTCTTCTAGGGTCCATATGTTCCTTGGTTGTTTCCGAACGCTGTTTTTCATTCACATTCAGTTAAATGACATGACAATTTGACTGAGCTTAACTTCTACCAATGAATTTCATTCTATGCATGTTGGGTTTCTATTTCCGTTATTTATTACGAAATGTTGAAAACCAGCACTACGATTGCACGCTTTTCTTTGCACACTAATAAATCAAAATAAATTGCACATCAGCTCATTTATTCAAACTGCTTCAATGACTTCTAGAAAAAGATCTACTAATTAATCTTCGACAAAAATTATTTTTAGTATAGGATTAAACAAATTGATTACATTGACATGATTAAGCAATTGATGACACTTTTGAGTATGTTTTACCGAAGAACATTTCAAAAATGGAATGTATTTGGACCCTCTCAAAACTGAACTTAAAGTAGCCTATATTGAATATGGATGAACGGAACCCAATCAAGTGGAACTCTGACGCGATCTAAGCTTAAAATGGGACGTGCATAATTTGAATGTTATTTACATTTTCTGGAGACTGATGCTTTGAGTGACCGAAAAAGTTAATTAAAAGTCAAGTGATTACGTCAAAGACGTGACACTAAATTAGAGATTAAAAATGTATGAGGAAATACAAAGACATAACTTTGAATTATTAAGTGTTGACAAGTTCTACATTTTATCAACTTATATCCTTATACAAGTGATCGATGTAATAATAAGGAATTTTTTGCTCGAGTCAAAAGTCACTGAAATACAGACTAACCTAGTTATTGTCAGATAATTGTTAAATGATATGAATGAAAAAATATCCTTTCTAAACGAATGAAGCCGAAAAGCAATGTTTTTGTTATTGATATCCGGCTCTAAATGAAGGGATATTTTATTTCAACTGCAACGTTCTGGAAGATCTATTTCTGCGTTATTAGTGCGTAATAATTGACAGAACAATAAGCAACAGAAGGTTCCTCTCCCTTCCCTCTCTGTTCTACCTACAGTTTACTGATAAATCCATAACAAATGGCTCATTTTATAATTGCAGCTATTGAGAGTTTGAAGTTAGTGATCTCTTCATTAATTTACCAAATCTGATGAAATGAGATGATAAACATGCTGTCCGTCAATACATATTTTCGTTCTTTTTTCTATGACTATCCATTCAATTATTGTCACTTCATAATAATTATATAATTGCTATTGTTATGCCGGTTTTACACTACAAACTTTTGCACAATTTATGGATCCATAAATTTATTTAAGGGCTCCAAATATGGTGTAAAGCGAGGTTTAATGTGTTTTCAAACCAAATTGAACCACTTATTGTGGACTTAAGGCTCGTACAAAATTATTGTTTAATTGGAAACACTTTCTTGTTGTTTCTGACGCTATTTTCTAATGGTCAGCCTATTTTTTTCTTTCTATTTTGTTTCAGATGTTGGACACATGTGTTGTGCGTAATAATTCTCCTCACTAACAATACTCCTGGCCGTGGCCTCTGAGTGGCCTCTCCAATCCTATTCAATGGGTCAGGCCATGGCCTCTGAGTTTCCGGTGCCGCCGTCTCCAGCGAAGTTTTTGGCTTGGAGAAGTTGTAGGGTCTCCGTTTTTTACTTGGAGAAGTTGCAGGGTCTCCTTTTTAGCTTCCGTCCATGGGCCATCTTCCTTCTTACGGGTTCTTACATCCCTTGGTGTTTTATGCGCGCTTAAGATCTTTGCGAGCCTGGCTGAATCCGACAGCTAGTCCACCTCGCCGCAGAATTTTTGCCAACTTCCTCGTTTGGATCTTCGCAGTTCCCTCTTAAAGTTTCTCCTGGCTTTGAGGTAGAGCTCCCAGTTTTCATCGTGGTTTTACCTTGCGGCTGGGTAAAAGGCCCTCCTAGCTTCCTGTTTGAGGAGTTGAAGGGCATTACTCCACCATGGTTTGAGGTTCCCGCCGCCCTGTGTTGACACGATATCTGGAAGGCTCAAGAATATAAGATGGAAAGGAAAGAAGGCTCATTGAGTCTTCTTATCTCCCGTTATAACTTCTCTCTTATGTTTCTTCTTTCTTACTAACCGTTCTTATGTTATTTTTGAGATACATAATACCTGTAAGCTATAGAGTAATCCCTTTCCTTTAAATTCCTAAATTCGCCTAAATAAGCGAATACCAACAAAAACCAAAGGCCCTCAGTCCCCAGCAGCCGGAAAGTTTCCTACAAAGGCAGCTGTAGCCAGAATGGAACGGCGGAGGGTGCGAAGAATAACTGGAAGAAATTAGGCTGCCACACAAAGATGAACATTGCTACGTACAATATTAGATCAATAGCGACAGAAGACAGAACTGAAGAATTGGAAGCGGAAATAGGAAAAATCAAATGGGACGTGATTGGCATAAGTGAGACCAGGAAAAGAGGCAAATGATACCTAAGCTCAAATCAGGTCATAAGCTCTATTATAAGGAACGCGAAAACTCCAGTCCGGGAGGCGAAGGCATACTGATACACAAGAGACTACCAGACAACGTAAGAATGCTTAAAGCTATATTCGAAAAAGTAATATACGTAACAATCCAAATTAATAAACAGGAAACACTAAAGATAATTCAGGTATATGCTCCCACAAGCACTTCTGAAGACGAGGAGGTCAGCAAATTCTACGGGGATATCTCGGAAGGAATGCGCAACAATTTATTGTCATCACAACATCACATCACAAGTTTTAGTAATCGGCGACTTCAACTGCAAGATTGGAGGCCAAGCAGACCCAGGGGAAAAATACGTAGGCAAACACGGGCTGGGAAAAAGAAATCCCAGAGGCTCAATGATGGTAGACTTTCTGGAAGAAGAACATCTCTATAACGCTAACACCTTATTCCAAAAAAACCCCAACCGCAAATGGACCTGGGCAAGCCCAGACAGGAGAACTTTCAACCAGATCGACTACATTCTCACGAAGAACATCCAAATAGTACAAAACGTAGAGGTATTTAATAGATTTGATACAGGAAGTGACCATCGTCTGGTGAGGGCAAGGATAAGCATCAACCAAAAACTACAACGATGTAAAAAAAATCAAAAAGTTGAAATACGAACAGATTGACAGAGAGAAACTCCAACATAACCCAAATTAATTCCAAACATTCCTGGGAAATAGATTTGAAGAGCAGAGATTGAGTAATTATGACATAAACGAAGCAAACAAAACGATCACTAGAACCCTAAACCAAGCAGCGAAAGCGTATATAGAAACTAAAACTAAAACATAAAATAAACTAAGCACAAAAACACTAAACATGCTAGATAAAAGACGACAACTTATAGCAAATAACAAAAGATCATCAGTAGAATACGCCAAAACAAATAAAATCGCCAGAAAAAAGGGCAAAGGAGGACGTCAGAAAACACAGTGTTCGAATAGCACAGAAGGTACTGGAACAACACAATGGGACGAAAGTGTTCAGAAGACTAGCGACAAACACAAAGAAAGAAATCGTCAGAATCAAAGACAAAACAGGACAAAGAATTGAAGGAAGATACGAAATTATAAGAACGGTACAAGAATTCTACGCAGACCTATACGAGACGAGAGTACCGACATATCCGAGCAAGACCAGGAAGTGAAACTCACGAACGTCAACTCGGAAGACATACCTGAGATTACAGAAGACGAGATCAGATCAGCATTACATCACATAAAGAATGGGAAAGCAGCGGGCGAAGAGGGGATACTAACGGAGATGTTAACACAAGGTGGCGATATACTAGTAGAACAACTAGAAATATTGTTCAATAAATGCCTGGAAAATGAGGACATACCACAGGACTGGACAAACGCCCTCGTGATAATCATCCACAAAAAGGGAGACACCGAGAACCTAGAAAACTACAGACATATCAGCCTGCTATCCAAAATATATAAATTATTCTCGAAAATAATAACTACCCGTCTCACACCAAAGCTAGACCATTATCATCCAAAAGAGCAGGCTAGGTTTAGGAAGGGCTACAGCACGACAGAATACCTGCAAACCATGAGAACACTAATCGAAAAGGCTGTGCAATACAATATACCTTTATGGCGAGCATTCATTGATTTTAGAAAGGCTTTCGACACAGTGGAAATATGGGCACTACAGGAATTAGCCTAATTAACAACATTTACCGAAACGCTACTCTACAAATCCAGCTACACAAACAATCCGACAAAGTGGCAATTAATAGAGAAGTGCGTCAAGGAGATCCTTTGTCACCCAAGCTCTTCACACTAGTTTTAGAAGACGCACTAAAAAAAATCGACCTCCAAGACAGAGGCATCAATATCAATGGCGAAAAACTTAACCACTTAATGTTTGCAGGCGACATAGTAGTAGTAGCCGAAAGCAGAGAAGAACTTGTCACACTTATCGAAGACATCTACAGAGCCACGAAGCGCAGAGGCCTATGAATCAACTTTGACAAAACGAAGTACATGACATCAAAAGTAGATGACGAACGAGAAATTACTCTAGGAGACAACAGAATCAACAGAAGGTAACTGCATACAAATACCTAAGACAAACACTAACTATAGGCAAGGCTAATACAGAACTCGAAATACATAAGAGAATACGGCAAACCTGGGCGGCATATGCCAAAATCAAAGACATCTTAAATATGCACATACCCTTAAACCTCAAAACCGAATTATACAACCAGTGTATCCTACCAGTAACTTCTTACGGGTCAGAAATTTGGACCTTCACAAAAGCTATACTTGACAAACTTAAAGTAAATCAGAGAGCTAATGAGAGGAGAGTACTTGGGATATCATTAAGGGATAGGAAAAAAATGAATGAATAAGAGAAAAAACAAAGGTGCATGATGTCGTGCAACGCGCCGCCGCTCAGAAGTGAAATTGGGCGGGCCACATCGCAAGAGACCAGGATAAATGGAGTGGTACACTAATTCGATGGAGACCATGGAGCAATAGAAGGAGCACAGGAAGACCGCAGATGAGATTGAACGATGTGAAACGATGCGACGATGTGAAACGAGCGGCAGGACTAAACTGGTACCAGGTGGCACAAAATCGTGACAACTAGCAAAATAAGAGGGAGGCTTATATCCGTAGGGTAGAAAACGGCTAATATAAAAAAATAGATGAAGCAACCGTTTCATATAAAAAAAAATGTTTGTACGATGTACTGGTACGCAATTAATTGAGAGCCTCGATTCAATTTTTATTAAGAATATTATGAGATTTTTTATACTACATGAATTTGCAGCTAGTTTTTGACAGGTTTTGAAAAACACTTTCCCAGACTTGGTCGACGGGTATGATATTCCAATAAGTTTAGTGCCAAAAATATGTGGTTCATGGAGGATGGTGCACCGCAAATTACGTAGATAAGTTCTATATTGTTGAGGCGGATTCATTTTTTACAAACTGCTTGTTGGGTATTTCGCCTCAAAAATGTTTGTCTTTAAAAAAAGCAGAATTTCCTCACGTTTTTTTTTATCACAGCTTGATAAATAGTGCATTTATTTCGCAAAAAGAACGAATTAATTTGAAAAATTACCTATTTTCTGCTATCGTTAGCAAAAGAACGTACATGAACCTAAAAAAGAGTATGTTCAAAAATTGTGTAACAATAGTAGGATAATACAACCTGTAAAAATTCGCTCTGATAATTCGTCTGTGCAAATTGTCAATTATGAATATACTTAGTATAGTGTAGAATAATAAAGAAAAAAAAAATTGAGGCGAAATATCCAACAAGCAGTTTGTGAAAAACGCAAATTACCTACCCTTTGAAAGTTCTTTCATGAACGACTTCCAGCTAGAAAATTTAATTTTTCAGTTCGAACATCGCATCTAAACCCCTTAAATTTTTGCTCTGCCTTTCACTTAAAAGTGTATCTAATCTGCAATTGAAAATGGTGACATACCTTTCCGTTAAATCGTTTTGTCAAATAATAACCAACAAGCATAGCGTCCGAAGCGCCAAGCAGTTTCTCAGAACTAGTCCTAGCACGGCATAAATTTTAAACTAAAATTGAAATTTTGAAATTAAATGGAAAGAAGGATTGTGGTGTATTTAATTCAGCCCGTCTTGTGTTTATTATATAAACATTTAACTTATAGCAAATTTGGCATTATACAGGGTGATTCAAAATTGGCGTCATTCCTTTTAAAGGGTAATAGGAGCTCACTTGAAAGGTACGAGAAAAATATGGAAATATTTTTTTCCGATTATTTCTGGAAGATATTAACAGTTGAAAATCGAATTTCAACTTTACTATTAAGCATTATTTTAAAAGTGTTTCATGTTTAATTGGAAGCATATTGGAATACTTAAGCATTCAAAAAGAAAAATGCCGACCTTCACTTCAAATTACGAAAATTTCTCCTGTTCAAAAAGTTCTTAAAAGTTTTTTTGATGGAAAGCCAAAGCGGCAATGATTTTTTTGGCATTACCAGATAGTTACAGGTGGATAGCCCTTGTCAATAATAACAATAATTTGCCAAACTATGACTTACTTGATATATTTCTTTCACACATTTGCGTATATGCGATTAGTTCACGGGAAATGCTACTGTAACATAGCAGAAGCTGAAACAACTCACGCCAACAAAGGGGGAGGAGAGCAGTTCCAGGAAAATAGTGGACGACAATAGATGTTCGGGTTTCAGACTCAGAAGAACAAGTATTGGACATGATTGCAGAGGAGCCTTTCAGGGGCACTCAGAACATTGCATAACTGACACTTTCGTACACGTATGTAAGATTCACATTAAACCAATGGATTACTGAACACCGGTATAAATTGCTCGAGAAGAATGCATAATAAGGTGATACACAGGCACATGTTTGGAGCTACAGGCTCAAATGCATAGATGCAAAAATAAGAACGAGCTCAAATGTATGTTTTTGTAATTTGTAAACAAATTAATAATCCGCGGTTATGAGTTTCTAAATAGGTTCTGTCATTCAACGATTCCTATTGAATTTATCGTTTATCCTTGTCTATCTTATTGTCACTTTCTCTATTTATCCATTGTTACCGGAGTCTTAAATAATTACTAAGCAACAGGTATTTACATAATGTTAATTAGCCAGATTACCTTGAAAACGTAGTTGCCGTTTTTCTAATATAGTTTTTTGCAAATTTCTAAGTTTAACAATAATTTTTTTACTAGCTTTTCTGTAGCCCTAAAACGCCGCCAGACAACACCTTGAGAGGAATGACGCCAATTTTAAATCACCCTGTATATCTCAATGACTCAATAACTGACGCAATATTTTATACACTGGATTTAAATTTTTACAGCTTTTGACACTGCCTTTTTTACTAAATAATCTAGCAGCAGAAGCAAAAATACGGTTTGCAAAACTCGTATTTACAATTCTGCAAATTTATTAATATTTTTAAGTCAAATGGACTTTCCCAATGAATTTTTACTAAACTTATATTATAACTACATAAAGGGAAAGGCGTCTAAAATCTAGCTGTATGGAGTTCTCTTCGTAACTCACAGACAAAACGGAAACTTTAGTTGACTGAACAAATGGTTCAGTGCAGCGCCCTGGCAAATTGAAATAAGGTTAAAGTTTCAGTATTTTACCGTGAAGCAGATCAAAGAGAAATGTTGACTTGTCTCTTTTGCAGAATTTTTGCTCTCTTGGGAATAAATTATATATTTCATTCAATTGTCTTTGGAACTAAGGCATACTGTTGCCCTATAAACATGAAAGTTAAATAAATTAGACGGATTCACCCAGGCGTTCGATTCACCACACCCGCTAAATTGTATGCATTCTCTGTGAGGTTTCTATTATTTCTTGCACACATTTATACAGACTGTAGTTTTCAAATTATATTTAACAGCTATTTAATACGCAATAACTTTGTGAACGAAATACAACTGAACGCTAAACCCAGACAGCATTAGAAATCCAATAGACACCCAAAACTTGTCCAAAAGAGTGCCGAATGTCCATGGTATCTTTTTCGGCTACCATATGGATGTAATAATTTCGGCATCCGTTGGACACCGGAAATCCCGGTGTTTAAAGGACGCCCGAGCATCGACAGATGACCAGTGACAGCTGAAAAACTAACCTTAATATGTGATCAAGTGTACATGCTTTTGTTTCAACCTTTATTTAATTTTTTTTATTTTAAACTTATTTTCATCTATGGTTTAATCGTGCCTTCAGAGGTAAAGAACAAGCAAAGTCTATAGACTCTATTGCCAGCATCATCTATAGATACTCTATTGCCAGCATCAGTGTGATAATAAAGGTAAAGATCTTAATTAAGACGACTAATCTAATTAGTATATATCGTTATATCCGGTAGGTTTCAATACACCATTTTGTATTTTTACTTTACCCTGTATGGGTTTTCTCAATGATTATAATATTTTTTATATGGCTTTTGCTTTCAGCGCCACTCATTCATTTCATTTGGAAATATTCTACAACAAACATGCTTAAAGGATCCCAAACAAAATCTGCTCTCCTCCAAGTGTTGGGACTTATTGAATAGTAAGTTGATTATTTATAGTCATTTTGTAACTGTAGAGTGTAGTTGCAATCGATTTTCGGAAGCCTTTATTTAAATCGTCTAATATTGCTCAATTATGCAAATTGTAATATTTCTAATATGTTTAAGTTCTTAATGTTTAGTTTAGTTTTAGTCTGATTTTTTTTGGTTACTTTATAACTTTATTATTATTAGTTTAGTAGTTTGTCTTTTGTTTACTTTTAGTTATTTAGGTTTTTAATATATTACATGACCCTATATGTATATTCTTATATTTATATGTTTTTAATTAAATTATATATATATATATATATGCTAATGTTTATAATTTATATATTTTTAATATAAACTGAATAAATGCAGTAGATTTTTTGTTTTATTAATCGAAATTGCAATTCATAACGGGAATAACGAAGTTTAATGCTTCTGATAGATATCAAGGCTTCTGGATGTCATCAGGACAACCAGAAGTTTTGGAAATCCAAAATTAATATTTTAAATACAATATATATGCCGTGTCCGTTAGATGCCTTATCGTCGAACATCCGGCGGAGGTAGGATTCTGTGACATTTGTATAGGAATATGGACGTCAATTGGACAACAATCGGACAAATTAAGGACATCCATTGGACATGCGGCTGCCCGAAATCCGTTGCCCTATGGACGTCCAATGGATTTAATAATGCTGTCTGGGAAAATCTGCCGCTGCAATGAATTTAAAAAAATTACAGGTGTGCAATTTAAATGCTACTTGCACCTGTATTCATCATATTTTTTATTTTATTCAGCGCCCTGCGTTTTCGTATGCAAGGAATTATTTAAATTTTTAAGAGGTTCCTCATAATGTTTTTAATAGGAATATTCAAGTGTAGCCAAATCGCTCCCGCTCTCAATCTCCAATTAAGATCGATTTTAAAAATATTCAAATATTCGCTTATTATTTTATATCTCCCACCAGAATTATTATTTCTGGATTTGAGGAAATATTTTGAAGCACTTTCCATTCTGTTAAACACTTATTTTACTTGCATAATGATGAAATGCAATGGTTTTCATCCAATAGTAAAATCATTGTTAAAATTCGCCAGTTTTACAATAACAAATTATAGCTTTAAAACAAGCAAAGTGGCACTTTCTGGTCGAATACAGTCTCGGTTTGCAATATCGAGCGTATCTATATATTGTTGCGGCTTGATTTTTAGCGCCCAGCGGCAACGCAGCTTCCAGCGTTTTCGGGACGCTACGCCTAGCTCGATACTTCGAGAACGAACGGCAACAGTCGATTGGGCTATGGAAATCCCAAAAAATGGAGAATCTTTGCAGGTAGTCGAGAGACCTTGCGCGCTAATATAAATACGGCAAGGCGACCGGAGTCAGTTAGCACATCGAGGACCATGGGCTAACTTTAAGTTAGTATAGGAATCAAAAGAGGCTGTTAGGTTTAGATTAGGTACTTAGGTTAATTTAGATTTAGTTATATGAGATATCTTAAGACACACAGAGTGTTAGACACTCTAGCGATGTTAGCAT